GAATATATTTTGCCAAAAGTCTTAAATTGAATACAACGGGGAGCTTCAAGTAGATAGGACACATTTAAAAAGTACTATAGAGCATGAATTAACCATGTTTATCTACTTCCGAAACAGAACTGTAGCTGTTTGATGTTCTATAATTTTGGTCAGGGACAGATTCTCGTTACCAGCATCCATTAAAATATGATCTTCGGCATAGCCTCCAGAACCTATGCACAAATTTCCAGCAGAGTCAAACTACCAGAAACAGAAGACAGTAGAACTTTACCATCTGGGAAGAGCTATTTACGCATTTAGCCATCTGTATAATTTCAGATGCCGGGGGCACTTTCTGGCAAATAGCAAAGGTAAGGCTGCCGTGTTCTTCCGATTTTAAGCAGTATTGTGCATACAATTCTGTTCAGACAAGCTGTCTTTTTTAAAGAGCAACACGAGAAGAACATTTAACGTACCCCACCCTCTTATTACGAAACAGACAAGATCCTTCCTTTGACATTCCATTTCATGCACTAGTGGGCTTTTGCCAGACAAGACAATTTATACATCATGATATGGTGCGGTATGACCTATCATAGGCAGTGTTGATGGATCGAGACAAATACTGTGGCAAAATCGACGAACCATGAATGTGGTCTGATAGTAATATTGGCCGTACTCAAGTACTTAAAAAGGGAGGAGGGCTTATCGCTCGAAAACCGTAGTGATCGTGTGGGTAATTGACGGAACAAGCAACGAAAACTTATGGTTGAGAAGCGTCGAGCTGGCAATAAGCTATTCTGGTTTTGAAACCTAGGACTTTCGATATTTTACAAAACTAGTGCCTTATTTGTTCAACGCTATAAAGGTGGCGAAAACTGGAAAAGATGGCTTTATAAGTCAGTACGGAAATGTCAGCAATCGCAGTAATGTCAGCAACGTGGCAGTTAAATATTCAATTATAACTGGGGCAAAAAACGATCACACGACTAAAGTCGATGGTAGGACAGAACAAAAAGTAGCAATACATGATTTAAGCACAAAATATTTAGGCGGTACTTGCCTGATGAATTTGCTCTGGAAGCTGCAGCCAACTCTGCAGCTCTTTTTGCTGCTGCAATAGCTTCCGCAAGTATAGTCTGTTCGGTTGTTGTTTCGGGTGCATCCACTTTTTCCACTGGATCGGAATCCCAACGTGATTTTCGCTTTTGAGAACGGATGGCTTCAGCTTCAGACGACTTGTCTTCAGCTGATTCAGGTTTAATTTCAGACAGAAGGAGAGTACGTCTAGGCGTGGTAAGCAGCGGTTCTGTTTTTTTCACCACAGGGGCAAGATCTGGATTATCTGATGGTGCCTCTGTTTTGACAACGATAGTAGACGAGGGCTCATCCTGAAGCTGAGCGTTAGGAGTGGGCAGAAGACAGGTGCGAGGGCCCCGTAGAGATGATGCCGGTGGTTTCTCAGGTGGCAACTTGATATCACTGAGACTGTACGGCACTGTAGATGCGTCTGGGAGACCTTAAACATAATGGGAGAAAATATCGGGCCGTTCCAAACTAGGTCAGAAGAAAAACTTTACCAAGGACGATCAAAATCACATCAATCATGACTTTGAGATGCGGTTATCATGCTAATACAAATAAAGACGAAATCGGACTCTAAAAGTGTTAGACCAGAGCTTTTAAGTGAAAACAAGAATTGCGAAGAACTCAACTGACACAAACTATGACAAAGACGATCCTTTGTCGGTTCGTATAATGTTACGTACAAAGGCCAATCACATATTACATTTAGCCCTTCCGTATAGACGACGAAAGAGGCCGCATTTAAATCATTTTAGAAGCCATAATCATCTACAGGTGGAGGTAAAATTGCGGCTAAATAAACCCTACAGTACTAGTAGAGGTTAACAGCAGTATTAAATTGATGTCTTGTTTCAGGATTACTTACAGGGACTGACTAGATTAATAAAAATAGCGTAGGATTAAATAATAGGAAGAGGCATATCAAGGAGTGTAAACAAGGGACGCACAAGGCCTTGAGGGTTTATAATAAAATAACCTAAAGACGAAATGTGACGTATTAAGAAAAAAATCGTCCAAATTAGTATTAAATGATTCATATATCTACGCGCACGCAGCTGGAGAACCTTACATTTTTTAGACTGCGGCTTGCGCTTCTTTCGTTCTTCGAGGAGCCGCTTTTGAAAAAATTTATATTCGTCCGTATCAGGAAGGGTCAGAAACCTAAAAATAAATATGGACCGAAACAACAAACCAATATTGGATACTGTCCTCAAACTTTGCGATTTCCATTTTTCCTAACTCTGGAGTAAGACCCGCGACCCTCATGACAAGGCTCTCGATAGCGATTAGAACCTGTTGGTTATCGGGAGGAGGAACTGGAAAGACATGTGTAAACTCAGGCAATAACGCAGATGGAGTAGCAACGCATCAACTAATTTCGCTACCTGATGGTAAAGCATCTTCAGCGGGAATTCTAAAAAAAATAAGTCTTAAATAGCTAACTTACTGTTCTGTTTCAGGTCGCTCCTCATTCTTAACCTGTTAAAAAAGGTCAAAATATTTTTGCAATATTACCACAGACGTATTCAGAGATACAGACTCGATGTTAACGCGTTCTTGCTCAGCTAAAAATTGTAAAATGAAAATTTGCAGGTTATTACCTTGCAGTTGCTTGAATAATTCCAAAAAGGTTCCATCATTCTTAAAAGGAATACTAGACCCCATCTGCGGTAATGTTTAAACGCTAGACATAGGAAGCAGATCATTAAAACAATTTTCGGAAAATTTACTCTGTTGAGGAAATAAGGCTTTGCACTTGAGTTCCTAGTTTATATCCCACAAAGCATTGCAACCCATCTTACAGCACTTATTCTGGAAAATTTTAACTCGTCGGCATGTCAGGCGAAAACTGGTGCAATCTTAATTATATGTATAGTAGTTTCTGGCGAAATGTACCTTTAATCTGCATGTAGAAAAAACATCATTGCATCACCAAATTAACTTTCAAACTATACTTTTATAGAAGTCAATTCGTCCGATGTCTGTGTACAATGTTTTGTTCCTAGGTTTAACGGTCTGCCCATGAAGGTGCCACGCCCAGTTACCTCGAAGGAATCACCAAACACTAGGGCACACACCAATTTTAAGAATCTGTAATGTCTGAATGGGGTCACTGCGCAGCTGCCTTCAGTGCAGCCTGCAAGTATCATGACTAAGATCATTCTCCATCTTCGTTGCACCCGCTTGCCGTTGTTTGGGAATTTGGTAATCTTTCTTGAGTCAAAGACGCCGGGACTATATGATATGCGCAAAATCACAGAATGAATTTCGAATATTAAGAAGAAGCGTATACAGCAGGATTTATTGAATTCAATAAAGTTCACGGTGGCTTTTGAACTGCATGACAGCAAGGGTCATTATAAATAATGATCAGACGAATGACACGACATTAAAATCAGCAAATAGGAAGGTAAGGGGAAGGGAAGTTAGCGCAAACCACAGTGGTAATTAGAAATAGGTTCCCAATTATTAGGGTAATTTGAGATCGGCCACTAGGTCGAAGTGCTGGCGTAGGTCGTATTTCTCTTGCCGCATGTAGGACGCTTCCAAGAAGCGCAGGATCCGTTTTTGTTTGTGCCCGAACACGTACTCAGAAAGCCGTTTTGAGGTCAAGAGAGGGATCACTGTCTGGCATAGGTTTGGTAATTGGGGAACTAACACTTCCTTATAGATATGGAAAAATGCATGTATCTGTGCCGATAGCATCTTTGTGGCACGTTACGCTGTCCTTAAACGTAGTGACGATTACTATGACTACTACAGTACCAAGATCAGTCTTTTCTTCCATAAGTTTTTGGTAGGAATCCGCTGTTTCGTTGGTCCTCCTACGGAGTCTTAGATCCACACGCGCACAGAGGATATAATTAAGGAATCAACGAAGGGACTAGCTGTTGAGTCAGTTTCTCTTGAAGCTTGGACTGGTGTTCTGATCCGCGCGACTTTGCTGCGCCATTCGTTAGATGGATTTTTTAATACTTATTCGGTCCGAAACTAGTTTCGAGTAGTACTTAATGCGTATGACGTTTAGGTTCTTCCTTCACAGTATGTCGTATTTTCCAGGATGCCTGAGGGGCAACAGTCAAACACTTTTTCGGATCAATAAAAATCACTGCTGTGATGCAGCGTATACTTCTCGTAGGT